GCCCATTGCTGCTCCTGTACCCCTCTGCCCCGCAGCGCCTACGCCTGAAACCTGCGGGAACACTCGGGATGGTCTGCACAGAAGGGGCGACTTGTCCCATCTGATGCAGAGCTGCCTCCCGAGGGTGCAGAGAGCCCCCTTGCACGTGCGCCAACCCTGTCATCTCGGACTTTTCACTTTATCTCAAGGTGGCATCAGTATCTACCCTTCCTGAGCGCCTCTGCCCAGGTACCTGGTGTTTTGCACCAAATTTTCTCCCATCTTTATGGAGCGAGCACCTGACGTGACCCCATGCCCTGGCTTTCCATTTCCACGGATGTCAGCAGCCCGCGGGGCCATCTATTGGGTTAGGGACTCTGCACTCCTTATCTTGGAGGGCCAAAGTCTGTCCCTTGCAGACAGACAGGGAAAAAAGGCAGCGAATAGGGTGCCAGTTGATGTTTAAGAGTTCTTTAATAGTGCTACACGGCATTAGGTTTTTCTCATGGAGAAAGGGTATATTTATTGGGTGTTTGAGAAAAGAACAGCCTAGGAGTTTAAAGCTTTCTCTTTCAAGTTAACACTGCACCCCATTTTAACTTAATAGCAGCAATTAACCTACTATTTCGGTGCTTTGGTGATGTTATCTAAGTCATAAGTGATTAGACCGTTTGTATACTTCATTTTCTAGTGTCTGCCCCCAGTGAACTGGCTTGTACAGTGGCAGGTCAACTTGTTTGTTCTGTAACAAGCCTTGTTTTTGTAGATTAAAGGACTGGATGTCATTTTTTTTTAACTTTCTTTGTTGTGGCTCTTCATCTTAAAATGTGCTTTGGAAGCGTTTTTTTTTTTTCCCATGTTTTTTTTTTTAATGGTATGAGATAAAACTTGAAATTTATTTTTAATTTTTCCCTTACTATTTTGAAACAATCGCTAATGTAAGTCCCAACTGACTTTACTCTGTAGTTGAGGCTGGGCTTGAACGCATTGTCTTCCTGCCTTTGCCTCCCTAGTGCTGGAATTAGAGGTGTGTGACATCATGTCAGGCTAGAAGTTGTTTTAATTTTCATTTGTCTCAGGAACTGTTGCTTTTATGACACTGGAAAAATTAAAGGGGAAAAGGGGCAGATTACTTTTTAACGTTTGTTTTTTTAATTTTGAATTAATTGAAAGTTGAACCTGGGTGTTGCTTCTATTGACCATCACATTGATGAAGAGGTCTTTTTACACTGTCAATAGCTACTTAAGATCAAACTAAATTCAACTCTTCTTAATTGATGGGTCTAAAATAGAGACTGGTAACTTTATAACACATCCCAAATGGTAACTTTATAGACTATCTAGTAGTTCTATTATTAATGATCTTTAATGGCAGGTGTGTTTGTAGAGCTACTTAGGACAAATGAATGGTCTTTATTTTGTTACCATTCTAATCTTTATCATTAGGTCTAGAGTCTCTCTGCCCCTCTCTCTCACCCTCTTTAGTGTCTTCTTTGATTATTAGGTTTTTGTTTGTTTTTTGAGGCAGGGTCTCAGTGTGCAGCCCCAGCTAGCTTTGAGCTTGTGACCCTCTTGCTCTGTCTTCCAGTTCTGGGTTTCCAGCACGAGGTGCCACAATTGGCACGAGAACTATTGCTGCTATTTCTTGGAGGCCTATTCTGTGATAAGCTGTGCATTAAATATCCTTTCTCTACAGTATCTTTCTAAGGAGGTTTCCCTGCTCACTTTACAGTTGAGGAAACCTACTGAGGGAGGCAAAGTAATTAATTGACCCAAAGAGTTAATAAAGGTTAAGGTTCAAAGTCTATTACTCTCTTCACTTAACTATTGTTAATTAGGATTGTTGTTTTGAAAAATATAAAACTACACTGTTGTCTTATGTGGTCCAAATAGGGGGTTGTGGGTTATCCAAGTAAAGAAGTACAGGGAACTTTGGAACAGCATCAGAAGTCTGGGCCAATTTTTCTCCTCCTTTCCCACTACCTTTCTAAGGACACATTTCTTAAGGACTCTGGTGTTTAACACTCAAGTCTGATTGTTGATCAGATCCTTCAAGAATGGTCATGTGTCCCAACCCGAATCTGTTTATGTGTCCCAACCAATACCTGACTATGTGTCCCAACCAAAACCTGGCTATGAGTAACAATAGAACTTGGCTATGTGTACCAACCAGAACCTGGCTATGAGTACCAGTAGAACCTGGCTATGTGTACCAACCAGAACCTGGCTATGTGTCCAACCAGAACCTAGCTATGTGTCCAACCAGAACCTAGCTATGTGTACCAACCAGAACCTGGCTATGTGTACCAACCAGAACCTGGCTATGTGTCCAACCAGAACCTAGCTATGTGTACCAATAGAACCTGGCTATGTGTACCAACCAGAACCTCTCTATGTGTACCAACCAATACCTGGCTATGTATACTAACCAGAACCTCTCAGTGTACCAATCAGTATAATTTGGTGTTTATTTGTTAAAACTCAAAAATGTGAGCATTTTAGAATTGGTTTCTACTAACCACTCCTGTTTAATCCTGGCTTAAAAAGAATTGTCTTAACCCCAATTACATATAAGGTTTTTAAAAAGGGTTTGGCTTATAGAGAGCAGGAAAAGGAATATTCTCTTACACAACCTGTATATCATTTGATGATCTTTGGCCTGTCACCCAAGTCATTCGAATGTGGCGTGGTGTTTGAGAATTTAACCAAATTCCTGCAAATTGCAGGGAACACCAGATTTTCCCCCTGGTATGTAGTGCCAGGTGGTTAAACTAGAATAATCACTTAGATATGACAATTACTATCATACTAATTCCAAATTACTAGTCAGAATTATCTAAAGTTTGTGCTCATTGCATCTCTGGCAGCAAGAGGAGGGGAGTCTATCAGTTGCTACATTAGCATACAGAACTTACTCCATCTTTATAATGTTTTAGGATACAGTTTGTGTTTTGGGAGCTGTTACTGCTGTGAAAAACGTTAATTGTTTAGAAAGAGAGATTATCCACTCATGAACTAGATAATACCTAAAAGAGAACTGACAGTGAGAGAAGGAGTTGATTTAAGAAAAGGTAAGGTTGTTATTTAATGAATTTAGTGAAAATCTTAACGAATCAAGCTCCCCCTCCCCCAGTGCTTCCAATGTGCCAGGCATTGTGTTAGATATTAGGGACACAGGAATGTGTAAAGACATGCGTGGTCTTTGCTTCTGTGGCATTTAAAGTTTGGTAAAGGAGACAGGCTTAAGGCAGTCATTTCAAGGCATTGAGATAAACAAACTGAGAAAAGCAGACGAAAGGGAAGGATCATGATTTTATTTGAGAAAGAACCATGCCTAACTATGTGATTAAAGAAACCTCACCTGATGAAATGATTCCAGAACCATATGGTTGAGTTTGGAGAATGGGTAGGTGCTAATTATGTGGGCAGTGCAAATGGCAGAGAAAATTTTAGAGTGAACTACATGTGTCAAGTCCCCTGTGGCACTAAGGGACTGTAGGCCAGTGTGTGTGCTTAGGCTGGTGGAATGACATTTTTTTTTAAATCACTTTTTTCTTTCATAGGTTTGTGCATACTCTACCAAAAGTTATATCCAGTGCTGATTAAGTGATTACTGTGTGCTGGAAGTGATTAGAATATAAGCACTCTACTGGTATTGCCACTTCACAGATGATAAAGTGAAGAATAAGAAGTTAAGTTTTGGGTTCAAGTTGGTAAGTGATGGCCTGCTATGATTCGACCTTATGCTCAAGTATGACCACAGGCTAGAAGGGACCTTCTAGTTCCAGTGTCACTCCTTAGGCTATCCCTGAGAACTTCGGAATTTTCTAGAGAATCCTGGTGCAAGTGGGTCCTTTGCAGACACTGGGCCCCCTCCTCTTGGCCACTAGATGGAGGTGGATTGTGGGTGACTGGAGAGAACCACGGGGCATCACTGCAGCTGTAAGGTTTGTGGATCTTCTTGTTTTACTCATGTCTGACTCTTCATAGAAGGGTAACACAAATGTTTTGAGCTGACCTACCTTTGAGAGGGAAGCACCTCCCCCACCTCTTTTCCATTGTGTTTCCCCCCTGATGGACACTGAAGAGAGTATGAACATTTATTTGGCCATTTAAAATGTAAATAAATCCAGGTTTGCAACATTCCATTTCAGTCTGTACTCTGGTCAGTCGTAACAAAGAATTTTCTATTCTATTCTTTCTTTTTCATTTTTTTTTCAGAGACCTGGTGGTTGGAGGTGGAAGGAAAGAGAAAATGGATTCTTATTTTTCAGCAGAGAACTCAACTCTGGCCATTAATATGAATGAAACTTTGTCTGCAACAGTAACTCATGGATTTAATTCCACCAGCGACCCACCTTCAATGTCCATAACAAGGCTTTTCCCAGCCTTGCTAGAGTGCTTTGGCATAGTCCTTTGTGGCTACATAGCGGGAAGGGCCAATGTCATAACTTCAACACAGGCCAAAGGACTGGGAAATTTCGTCTCAAGATTTGCCCTTCCAGCTTTATTATTCAAAAACATGGTTGTACTTAATTTCTCTAATGTGGACTGGGCTTTCCTATATAGTATCTTAATTGGCAAGGCCTCTGTGTTTTTCACTGTATGTGTTTTAACCTTATTGGTTGCCAGTCCTGAGAGCCGATTTAGCAAAGCTGGACTATTCCCTATTTTTGCTACACAAAGCAATGACTTTGCATTGGGATATCCTATAGGTAAGTTATTTTTATTCTTCAATTTTAAAAAAGTTTAAGCATTTTATGTGGTAACATAAGTTTTTGATATATCTAAGCTTTTGTTAGTGAGATATTCTTATTCTCATCTCTAGGGACTCATTCAATTTTTGTTTAATTGAAATTTTTTTCACACAATATATTCTGATTACAGTTTTTCCCTGCCTCAACTCCTCCCAGATTCTCTCCACAAACCCATCATTTTTTCCTTAAAGCTGTCTGAAATTAGAATATTTTTCTTTAATTTCAGGGTTTTAAGGATCACTTAATTATCTACCTAAAATAAATGGTCATATTCTAATACCTTAGGGGATAATCTTTCTAATAGTATTCTATTTCTTCTCCATTATCTCATGTAAAGAAATCTAATTTATAGAAGGGATCACATTCTGACTTAAATTATATTTTAAAAAAATCTTATGTCTCTATGAAAGTACTAATCACTGCATGCCAGCAATGGGAATTTATGGCATTAATGGCTTTTCCACACCATCCTTGTTCTTATGCTCTAGAATATATAGATCCTTTTACACTAAAATTTGTTTGTGAGCTTGTTATTTGAGTTTTCAGGGTATTTATGTTGATGCTAAATTCTTGTTTAAGGACAAAAGTGGTGAAGATGCTATTGTGTCTGTAGTTCTGTACTCAGCCCAATTTTACATTTTCTGGTAAAACAATAAGCACACTAATTTGGGATGCTGTAGTTTCTTGAGAGGAAGTATATTGTGTTTTTCAGAATATACCACCATTCCTAGAAACTCATTTTTAATATTTAAAAATGCAAGTTGTTCGTATTTTAACCAGGCACCACAGCATGGGGACTGTTGTATCTATATTCATTCATTTGCTGTGGGAAGATACTACATGCCAGTGCTAGGAAGAGACCTGTGAACAAAGTTATCAAACATATTGAGTTCATATTTTAATGAAAAAATAAAGTTATGATTGAAACTAAGATCATATCAAACGTTAGCAGGGGCCAGAAGACTAAGTAAGGGCCAGGTGTGAGTAGATGGTACTGTGGCAGAGTGGTGGGTTAAGGCTTCTCTGATAATACATCTTCAGAACAGAGACTCAGGGGAATATTAAATTGTACAATTGAAACCTACCGTGAACTCTCAGGCCTCTGTCATTTTATCCCATCCTCCTCCCCCAAGCCATTTTACCACTGGCACCAAAAAGATTTGTAGTGAACTATAATGTTCAACTTTCCTCATTTTAGCCATGGAAAAATACCAAAGAAATCAAATAGCATGGAGTAAGGCAGGAGACTGAAGAGGAGGGGGCAAAGCAGGGCTCTTAGGTAACTGGTCTATAAATAGAAGCTCTGTAAGTATTCCTTTAGAGTTACTAAACTTTAAGTTGAAATTACACGACAGCAGTTAATGTTTGTCCCTGTCCTTAGGAGAACTAAAGATGTAGTTTGGCCAAGGATTTGTAGGATAAAGACTCCAGAAGCAACATATTGCCATAGTGTTAAGTATCTAATAAATATTGTTCTTATTTTAGACATGAACGAGGCATATATAGTTTCATACTTTTATAGACTAGTGAGCTCATAAAGAGAACTAACATTTGTAACATTATAGTTTACAGGAAACTTTATTATTTGAATAGGGCAGATATTATCACTTTCAAATAAGGAGACAGGGTTACAGGATTGTGTTAACCTAGGTCACACAGCTAACATGTGCCTGAGACCCACCTCTAGGCTTTCTGGTTCTAAATCCCCGGCACTCTCTTGTGCCACAGGGTTACATAACAGGCTAAGTCTATCTTAGAAGACCTGACCAACCTTTGTAATTTAGCAGTTTCAGAACAAAATCAGATGTTTTTGTCTTTAAAATATGTTTGGGGTGGGGGGAGCTATAGGGGTAGCTTAGTAAGAGTGTGTGCTGCAAAAGCAAGAGAACATGAGTTCAAACCCCCAGTATCCACTTAAAGACTAAGCATGAGGGCTTTAGCTTCCTGAGCCACCCTCTGCTTTGTGAGAGCTCTTCCATTCTGTGTGTTTGCTTTATGTGTGTGTTTCCTTGCCCTTAATAAAACCTATTCTTTATCAGCTTGAAGAAAAAAGTCAGACAGGCCTTTCCTTCCTATAACCCCAGTGCTGGGAGGTAGGGACAGGTGGGTCCTGGAACTCACTGGCCAGTCAGCCTACCTTAAATGAGCTGTAGGGTTAGTGAGAGACCTGTCTCTAGAATACTGTGGAGAGAGATGGAGAAAGACTCTAGACCTCTTCCTCTGGTCTCTGAATGCACACACAGATGCATGAATGTGCAAAGGGGAGGAAAGAGCAGGCGTGGAAAAAAGCTATTGGATGAATTACTCTTCCTATTAAGACACTTTCTAAATTGTATACACACACACACACACACACACACACACACACACATATATGTATGTATGTATGTATGTATGTATGTATGTATGTATGTACCCAGCCATTCCATGTTATATCTGTAAATGATATCTGTAAATGTAATAATCAAGTTCCTAGTGGTATAACAACCTGAATTTCCTTGATGAATATGTTGTGCAATTTGGGGTTATAATTTCTGTTGTTTGTTTTACTCACAGATAATAATGCTTGTAACACCAGGCTGTAGACTATAGCTTTATTAAAAACCAGTCATACAGACAGCTTTCTCATCTACTTGTAAAATGGAAGATGTGTACAGAACATTATGTCATATGTCTGCTCCCTAGTCTGTCTCCATCTGTCTTCTGCTCCTGTACATGGTGAACAGAGAAGACAGTCACCAGGGAGACCTTTCTATTGGTGTGTTTCACACCTCTCCTAGGAATTCCTACTGTCATGCTGAAAGAGAAGTATTGATAATGAATTAGAAGAAACACCCTTCTTAGGGCTGCATTTGCTCCTCATCTGCCCAATTTACATGTGACTTGGGAAATAGTGACATGGAGAGAAGATAGATAAGTTAGTGAATAAAGAAAAAAGATGGATATGTATCTTTTCTTAGTATATAGAAAGGATATACTATATGCTATAGTATATAGAAAATAATGCTATGTTACTATGTAGTTTTTACGTTAAAGTCAAGTAAAGTACAGACTGAAAAGGGTTTACTGTCTTTTAGGACAATTCTTTTCAAAGGTGCTTTTTAAAATGCAGGTGTGAGAAGAAACCAAGAATCTACTACCAAGGTGACATGCCTATTCCAGCATATCAGAATGGCTCCCTGCCTCTGTCATTAAAAGATACTAATAGGGCATAGTTAAGTCCTATAATTTATTCTTCAAACAATGCTGATAGCATAAGTACCCTGACTAATCATAATTAGGCTCTAGTGCTTGAGCTGTAAACACAATGGGGATGAAGCTATTTAACTATATGCCATTAAATAATGGAATGGTCTTGTCAGGGTCTGTGTGTTATTTGCTAGAGATTGAAACCCTGCAGGAATCAAAATAGGAGTCACAGTGGGTGGCTAATTTTATCTTAGTTCTTACAAGCTATATACTAACTCCTCATAATGGGATTCCCCCTCCTTCTAAGAGCCTTATTTATAATCGTTAATTAATTAGGACTTAATAGTTGATGTAGTGATTATAAATCTAATTTTAGTTGCTATAGGTCACTGTATTCGTGTGTATTTTCCTTTCCGATTTAAAAGATTGTCTTCAGGTTGCTAACTGCCAGTTTATAAAGATGGAATGTTAAGTAATTATGGAAATGAGTGGCAAAAGAGACTAAAATTCCCATGTTGAACCCCTTTCTACCCGTAATTTAATAAGTATTTATTTAATCATGATTATTTGCTCTCCCACTAGACATTGCTTCTTTTGCCCTTTTGCACTAATTCAGTTGAGTTAAAAGACTATAATTGTAACCTGCTGTATAAATAATCACAATATGTAAAAAGGAAAAAAACATGAAATTTCGGTTAGATAGGAGGAATAAGTTCAAGAGGGCTATTGTACAGCATAGTGAATGCAGTTAATAACAATGTAAGTGTACACATCATGGAAAATTATATGTATGCTGGTGAGCTTCATTTAACCATCCAAGACCTAAAAATTTCAAAATAACATGTATATAACATGTGTGGTTTTTATTGGCCAGTTTAAAATGCATTGGTAATCCTGTTATTCAGGAGGCTGAAGCAAGAGGGCTGCTGGGAGTTCAAAGCCAGCCAAGGCTACAGTGTGAGATTCTGTATCAAAAACCAGGGATGGTGAAGCGCTTGCTATGTAAGCATGAGCCCCTTGTGAACTTAAAATCCCAGTGCTGGGGAGGTAGAGATGAAGATCCCTGGAGCCTGCTGGTGAGCCAGTCTAGCTGAAACAGCAAGCTTTGGTTCAGTGAGAGAGTCTGTTTCAAAGAGTTAGGTGGGGAGTGATTGAGAAAGACATTCAACATCACCTCTGGCCTCCACACACATGCATCAAAAAAGGTTAATTAAGGTGATAATTTTTAAAATAAAATATGGATCCAAAAAGAGCCAGATTAGCTAATAACAGATATAAATTGTTGTATGATGCAAAGTACATTTTTACTATACCTGACACCCTTAGCATTTGTTGATTTATCAGTTAATTCTGTTCAACAGATTTGTTCAGTACTGTGTTGGGTGTGGTCTGTGGGTTATGGAATGATGCCTCCAGGGGACTTAGAATTTCTTGAGGTGGCATTGATGCAAAGCAAAGTCTCACCGTATTCCAGAGGTAAGATTTAATGATGGAGTTTGAAGACTTGGTAGAATGGGTCCAAGAGACTGGCCCTAAATATTAGGCAAGTTTCAGAAAGAAACAAATTCAAGATGTTAGAGAGTGAGGGCATGATCAGCAAATAGAGCTTGTGTTTGTTAATGTACTGTTTGTCTACTGTACCTGTGACAGGGATCTGGCAGATGGAGTCTTTGCTTTATGGAGTAGTAAAAGATGTGTTTGGATAAATAGGACAATTATGGGGACTGGCTGTGCTCATTAAAAGAAAGCCACAAGAGCTATGCCAGTGAGTGGTGGAAATGATAGAAAAATACTAATTTTTGAAAGTTTTGACTTTGCATAGTTGTGATTTAGATGGTACTCTTTGGAGTTAATAATATGGATGAAAGGAGTGGTTGAGAAAACACAAAAGAACACTGGTTAGTGAAAACACCTGGTAACCTAATTTTCAGACTTTTAACTAATAGGAGTAAGAATCAAGAGGAGAAAATACAAAAGACCCTATAAAGGAAGGGCAGCAGTCTCCCATATCTGACGGGAGTGTGTGTCAAGATTCCCCTTCTGACGTCTATATATACTAGGCCAGCAGCAGTTTTTGCCTCGGCATCCTGAGTGATGAGATTCTCAATTATGCATATAAATGTATATTATATATAATAAATGTTGTCTTTCCATATCTACCTATGATCAGGGTTAATGTATAAATTTGGTACACCGAGAGTTTGGCAATAACTAGTAAGACAGAATAGTAATACACTGTAAGACATGTGTGTGTTGTGGGCTCTGTCCTTTTCTCTCAAGCTGTCTCACTGCACTTTGCTTACGTTCTTGTTACCCATGGATAACTAACTGGGCATGTAGGAAGCCAAAGAAAGGATGGGGTGCTGCTGTATTTGTTGACTGCCTAGCAACAGCAATGGAAAACTGTTGCTCAGACTTGCATTGAATTTTAGAGAGAGAGAGAGAGAGAGAGAGAGAGAGAGAGAGAGAGAGAGTTCATCATGTGGTAGTGACCAGTGATTTTCCAGGAATGGAAACTTCTCTACACAAGTGGTCGTCAATATAAGGGGCCTTGGGTAGAGTGTGGAGTTGGAAATAAAGGTTGCCACAAAAAACACTTCTGCATTGCACTGTGGCCACTTAGGAAAAATTCTTAAAACTAGACCGAAAATGCAAGACATTCCCCAAATATACACTCCATTCAAGAAGCTAAAGTGGTGGGCAGATACCGACACCTTTTTCCTAGAGGTGGAGTACCTAAGAAGATGTGTAGCTACCTAAGAATAATTATCAAGATGGGGCTTTTTACTTTAAAAAGCACCAGGGAACATGGAAGGCAGCCACCGAGTCATAAAGCCATCACGTCTAACTTAGAAACCAGTGTGAAGAGAACTGATGAAGTTTTATGCAATCAAGGTCATTTAATCTCTGCTCTATTTTGGAGGTAATATAGACCTATGTATGTGCTTAACTAGGAGAAAAGTGATTTGAATTTTATAAAAAGTAAGAGTAGCTAATGAGATCAAGGTGGAGTTCTGAGGTTATATAATCTATTACATAACTTTAACGGGACATGAGTCTGACATTAACTGAACTTATGAATCCTGAGTAGGTAAACAAATATATTTTCCTACTTGTGTCACTTTATCTTAGTGTAAATTAAGAAACTGGATCTGCATTGTTTTCACATGATTGCCTCTCCCCTTGGAATGATTGTGGCAGTTCGTTTTATTTCTCAACTTCACAGCCATTATGAATGAGCTTTTGTATACTTCCAGTTGGATAGGTTCAAGTTCTATGTCCAAAACAAGTCTGAAGACCAAGAGGCTTTAAGTTGCCTTGTTTGACCCCAGGACAGTCACTCATTCTTTACCTTCCAGAACTGCTAGAAGTGTGATCCCACTCACTTACCCCCTCCAAGAAAAGGTCTTCTGTAGCAGTTAAGTTCTCAAGTCATCATGTCTTCTCAAACTCTTCAAAAGCCCCCCACAAAATACAGCATTGTGCTCTGTAATGTGCCATTTCTTGGTAATCTTGCAACCTGTTTTGTTGTTGTTGTTACTTTGTTTTGTTTTTCTTTTGTTTTTTATTTTATCCAGCCTCATTCTTCAGTAGGTAACAGGCTCTTTGGGGACATAGCTGAGAAAAAGTGATGCTTTGTTTTCTTAAGAATGTATAGTTACTAGCCAAGTGGTGGTGGCACACATCTTTAATCCCAGCACTCAAGAGGCAAAGGCAGGTGGATCTCTGTGAGTTCAAGGCTAGCCTGGTCTACAGAATGAGTTCCAGGACATCTTGAACTACACTGAGAAACCCTGCCTCAAAAAACAAAAAGCAACAACAACAACAACAAACCTCGTAGTTACATTTTCGAGAGTTAAATACATTGTGTGGTTCCATGCTCTTCCCCTCCCAAACGCTGTCCAGTTCCAGCCTTCTGTCCTTCTTTAGCATCTTCTCTGATCTTGCCTGGAAGCACTCATTACTCTCATTTCCTCACAGCCTATATGCCCCACAAGCAAGGGTAGGTATGACCAGCACTCTCTTCCTCATCGTTACCTGGTGCTATCGCTAGAACATTAGCTCGCTGTTTTCTTGATGACACTGTTAAAGTTGATTGGCTCAATCACTCCTCTCCATTCTAGTCATTTCCTCCCATCCACTGCAGACTTTAATGTTTGATTCTCTTATTCATTATGAAGTTCTACCTTATTCCATTTGACCTTAGCATCCTCCTCAGCTACCCACTGAATTCCCTGCCCGCTCAGTCCCGTGGCCTCCTCATCTCCAGGAAAGCCTTTTTTGCTCACATGGCCACACTCTAGACCACATCTGGAGAATATAACTTAATCGCTCACAATCTGACTAAAAACTTCTGAACTTCCAGTTGTACCTAATTCAGACATGTCCCAGGTCAGCAGTCTCGTGTCTACATCTTTCCCTATGGAGTGTGAACTCCATCACAGCAGTGCTGTTAAGTTCCTGACCATACTCTCACCTATCTGCTGCCATTTGACTCCTGCCTTATCCCACCAATGAAGATGCTCGCTCCATGAGTTCAAGCAATTATCTTGTTGCTATCATTACTTATACAGATTTATATTTTGAGTTGCTCTTTTAAAATTTTACAGCTCTTCCCTTTTAGAGATTCTTTTTAAGCATCTGTATTTGGAAAATAGTTGTTTTTTTATAAAAATAACTTAAAGTTGATTGTTGTTATTGTATAAACTGGATGGTACTTAATATAGTAAGCTTTTCTTTGTCAGTTTTATTACTAAAATTTATCTCTCTAAAATTAAGTGAATGGGGTTATTCATCACTAGACTAATTTTCAATGGTATAAACAAGCACAAAAATGTTATATACCTATTTGTATAATCTTGTGCTAATATTCTTGTTTTACAGTTGAAGCTCTGTATCAAACTACATACCCGGAATACCTCCAGTATATTTATTTGGTGGCACCAATATCTCTTATGATGTTAAACCCTATAGGGTTTATATTCTGTGAAATCCAGAAGTCTAAGGACACTCAAAATGCTTCTCAAAATAAAGTAAAAATTGTGGGACTTGGATTTCTACATGTGTTACAGAACCCGATAGTATTTATGGTCTTTGTTGGCATTGCCTTCAATTTTATTCTTGATAAAAAGATCCCTGTATATATGGAAAATTTTCTTGATGGACTTGCAAATTCCTTCTCTGGATCAGCCCTGTTTTACCTTGGTCTGACAATGGTAGGAAAAATAAAGCGACTGAAGAAGTCGGCATTTGTCATGCTTACTCTCCTCATCACGGCTAAACTGTAAGTTCCACTTACTTCATGTGGGAGTTATAAGAGGAAGAAAAGCCTATTTAACCAATGCACTGGGTTGTATTGCAGCAAACTTTTCCTTTAGACATTAATTCTTACTTATATAGCTGCTATGATTTAAAGGAAAGTGGGCTATTTGGGTATTGTAATAAATTATTTCCTCACTAAGGCATGCAGGTTATTTTTTCTATTTTACTGTTAGAAGACAAAGATTATTGGTTTTACTTCAGGTTTTTTTTTCATTCAACTTTTATGTAACGTTTACCTAATATTTTCAATGTCTTAGTAAAATCATACTTAGTTAATCAGTTTTTATGGCTCTAAGCATCAAACCTAGGGCCTCAGACTTGCTTGGTAACTGTTTTACCACTGAGCTATACCACATCCCTAGATCATGTTTTAAAAATAAATTTTGCAAAATTTCTAAACCCATTAAAAATCATAAAGTACAAGCATCTTATTGTTTCAGAATAATAACTTTTAATATTCACTATTTTTAAAGAATTTTGGAAACTATTCAGTGACATAAACATTTTTGGACAAATTATCATTATTGGAACAACATTACAATGGAAATACTTTTTTATTAATAGTTCTTCAGCTTATTGGCTTGTCATCCATGGAGTTGATACAATTTTACTGCAATATTACCCAGAACACTTAGGGCATGCTTATATGTGGAATTCAACTCCTATATAAGAGTTAAATCCATGGGACCAGGACAAAATAAATAAAGGAAATAGTTCTGAAAAATATTTTTGGTGGTAAATTGTTCTTCAGAATATATGAATTAGTATTTCCACTGTAGTGTTGTTTCAATAATTATAATATTGTAATTTCAATGTTAATTAAAATTTTTCAATGTTTTTTATTCTTATTAGATATTTGATACTTTTTAAAAAATAAAAAAAAAATGCTGGCTGGAGAGGTGTCAGCATTGATTCTTCTTTCAGACAACCAGGGTTTCATTCCCAGGTAGCCCACAACCATCTGTAATTCCCAATTCCAGGGAGATCCAACTCCCTCTTCTGGCGTCTGTGGGCACTGCATGCACATGTCACACAGAAATACAAGCAAGCCATACACCCACCCACATAAAATACACACATTCATAAATACATGCATTTATAAAAAGAAATTGCAGTGGCCTAGCTGCATGAATTGTCTATTACAACAAATAACTAAGGGTAACTCAGGACTGGGGAGGTGGTTCAGTATGTAAAGAGCTTGCTACACAACCATGAGAACATGAGAGTCCATAGCAGGCATGTAAAGAGCCAGACCCAGTGGCATATGCCTATAATTCCAGCAATGGGATGGGGGAGACAGGAAGAGTCCCTGAGGCTTCCTGGCCAGCCAGTCTAGCCAAAATGTCGAACTGAAGGGTCAGCGAGTGGTCCTGTCTCAAGCAATAAGGGAGAGTGCACAGCTGTGTACACACATTTCATATCCTAGCCTACCTCCCTAGGCACTGCAGCAGCAGTGTGTCAGCTTGTTCTTTCGGAAGGCAGCCTATTGGCTTGGTGACCGGTCTGTTCTTTCCACAGAATTGTGAAGACTCTAATAATAGATTCCTCGCCAGACCTAGCTAGTGTTCCGCTTCACACAGTTGTTTCGGTTCCCTCTGCAGAATCTTTCGTTTTATTTACAGAAACAAGAACTAATTATTAAGATGCCTACTTTTCTACTGCTTTGTAGAATCTTATTGGGCTGCACTGTTACCGTTAATTGGACCACTTAAATACTTAATCACAAAGTTCAGCTTTTTTTCCAAAAAGTTACTTGAAAGACGTTACTAAGATTTTCAACCTCTTTTTCATTTTAATTTCAGTTAACCAATAGAAGAGGCAAGAAAGCAACTGTAATTAAAATGCTTACTTTTAAAAAAATATCTGTAAAAATCTGTTTCCCCCTTTATATTCCCTAATGTTTGAAATATTCCAGGATATTGCTCTTGAAATGGCTCCTAGCTTAATTCCTGACTTTCAACAAAATGTCCAGCAGCAATAGAACATATGCTTAGAACTATAAATGACTTCGGACAGGAGGCAAATAGTAACAAATTTCAAATTCACCTGCAGTTACTAGCAGGGGTGACAGGCATTGATGCTAAGTACCTTCTACTTCTCTTCTTTCTCCAGCCTGGTGCTGCCCCTTCTGTGCAGAGAAATGGTAGAACTCTTGGACAAGGGTGACAGTGTGGTGAACCATACAAGTTTGTCGAATTATGCCTTTCTCTATGGCGTCTTCCCTGTAGCCCCAGGAGTGGCTATCTTTGCAACACAGTTCAATATGGAAGTAGAGATTGTATGTATACACTGTCTTTTTCTTAGTCTGGTGGGTTTTGTGCAAAGAGAAAAATGAAGTTGTGAAACGCAGAAAGCAACATTCTTTCGATGAGAATTTGAGCTTTCTAAGCTGCTGTACTGTAGATAAGAAGATATTCTGTAACATTATATAACCATAGTTATTTAATATGGGAACCTTTTTCATCTATGCTGTTTTCCTATTTTTTAAACCCATGCTCTTTTAATAGTCTTTTGTTTCAGTACTTTCCATCTATGCTTATATTTAAGCTTTAAAGTTATTTACAGAGGGGTAACTTTGGAATTTTTTTAAAGATTTATTTATTTAATAATTTACTTAACAACAGTGTTTTGCCTTCATGTGTGTCTGAGTGCCAGAAAGGCACCAGATCTCATTATAGATAGTTGTGAGCCACCATGTGGTTGCTGGGAATTGAACTCAGGATCTCCGGAAGAGCAACCAGTGCTCTTAACCTCTGAGCTATCTCTCCAGCCCAACTTTGGAAATTTTTGAGGGGAAAATATTTCATTCATTACAATTCAGTCACCACAAAAAATACCCCACAATAAACTAGAGAAAGTTGGTAAATTAATGTCATCTATGTATACTGTGTTAAGGGGTTCGGAAATATAATAGGAGAGACAGTCCCATTAATTACTCCATATCATGTTTGGTAATTATTTTCTGTTGATTTTTTCCCATAGTTTGTGAGTAGTGTGGAAGAAAACTGTTCATAGATTTAATTAGACCATTGGAAGGGTGCTCTTTTCAGTACCTAGAAGATAAGCAACAATATAATCTATAGTATTTTCATATGTAAATGCCATTTGAACCTAGATTAGAAAGGGGCCAATGGAGAAGTCTCATAGAAAGGAGAAGTATGGTATCAGACCATATGCTGGGTTCTATAATGTGTTTACTGGGTTTCATTTTCAGTTTAAAAGGTATTAGTATATTATGGGTATTTGAATTTTTAAGCAATTGTTTAGGTAAGATTATGACTCCTTAATTTGATCTCATTTTTGCAGATAACCTCAGGAATGGTAATAAGCACATTTGTGTCTGCTCCAATCATGTATGTTTCTGCCTGGTTACTGACCTTTCCCACCATGGATGCTAAGCCATTGGCATATGCCATTCAGAATGTTAGTTTTGATATAAGTATTATCAGTCTGGTCTCCTTGGTAAGTATACTTCAGTGTCAAATTGTATAGAAACCACAAAATAAGTTTGACAATAACTACTAAGAGAAAATGATTTTAAAAACTTTAAAAAACAAAACAAAACAAAATAGAGCCAGGTGTTGGTGGTGCACGCCTTTAATCCCAGCACTCAGGAGGCAGAGGCAGGTGGATCTCTGTGAGTTCGAGGCCTGCCTGGTCTCCAGAGCGAGTGCCAGGATAGGCTCCAAAACTACACGGAGAAACCCTGTCTCAAAAAAAAAAAAAGAGAGAGAGAGAGAACAAAAGTCTTTCTGGAAAAAAAATGCAATATCAACTTCCTAATTAACTAAGATTGTCTTTCCAATGGGGAGTTTTGAGTTGTATAGTGGGCAAGGCATGTGACTTCAACTTGGATTTGTTTCTTTATCCTACTGCAAGTTATCTATGTGTCATTTTGCAGTTACTTAACCTCTCTTAAGCTTAGTTTTATTAGCTATAAAGATAATCATTTCACCTGGTTCTATGGATTGTTTTAAGGTTTGAGAGAATGAGATAAGCATTCTATGAATAATGATCACCATGCAAATACTAGCTATTCTAGAATCATAGGACCAGCAAAGGTCTTTAGGATCAAGATTAATCCTTTATTTAAATGAAACCAGATAACTTTTCAAATTTGGTCCTGCTAGCTCAAATATATAAAGCCTTTAGCAACTAGAGTATCACATAGGTCAAATTGCCTGCTGAATTTAGCCAGAATTCTAAATTGGAAAAAGACCATGTTTCTTCTTCTTCTTCTTCTTCTTCTTCTTCTTCTTCTTCTTCTTCTTCTTCTTCTTCTTCCTCCTCCTCCTCCTCCTCCCGCTCCTCCTCCTCCTCCTCCTCCTCCTCCTCCTTCTTCTAGTACTACTACTACTACTATTACTACTACAATGTTTATTCTTAAAAGGAATGGATATGAAAATGGATATGTATGTTAACAATAAATAAATGCACAATTGATTTGATTCTTAGGAAATCCCATATCTGTCACATACTCTTTTTTTTTAATTTTTCAAGACAGGGTTTCTCTATCCTGGAACTGTCTTCATAGACCAGGCTGGCCTCAGACTCACAGAGATCTACCTGCCTCTGCCTCCTGAATGCCGGGATTATAGACATACACCACCACCCAGCCCCTATCACATACTCTTAAAATCTATTTCCTTGATAAGAAGGTAGTTCAGGGAGAGAGAAGGTATCAACGTCTATTGGCATGTAGAGGCAAGAAGAAAATTACCCAGCATACTTTCCTGGGCAATATGAAGGTAGAATAGAAACTCAGTCCTGGGGCTGGGGTGTAGCTTAGTTTAGAGCATATGCTTAGCATGCATAAGGTTCTAGGTTCAATCCCAGTACTAGCCAGAAGAGGAGGAGAAGGAGGAGGAGGAGGAGGAGGAGGAGGAGGAGGAGGAGGAGGAGGAGGAGGAGGAGAAACCCAATCCTTTCAAATACTAGGAATACAAGTTTAATCTTGGTGTGGGAAGTATGTGTTGTTTGAAATTATACCACCTGGAATTTAAACTCCTCAGGAGCTAGTGTGATAAAAGTCTGAAAGGAAAAGTTTAAAAAAGTTCTTTCTTAAATAATTGGCTGTGACTTTGTGTCCTATTTCAGCCACTGAAGGTAGGCATACTTAGAATATGGCCCTAGTCAATCCATAGTTCTTAAAGAATTAATCTGTTAACTATGGATTTCCCATACATTTATTTCACTTTGGATACATTCATTTATATTAATAACCTTCAATTTCAATGAAACCTTAAATTTTCTTCTGGAATAAAGATAAGAGAACTCTTTAAAAATACTAATCATGGGGATACTTGAACTCTAGACAGGAGGATCTGGAGTTCAAAGCAAGCCTGGGTTATACAGTGAGATCCTGTCTCGGGGAAAAAAACAAAAACAAAACAAAACAAAAAACCCAAGGGCTGGAATGTAACTCAGTGGTGGAGTGCTTGCCTAGTATATATGAGGCCCTGAGTTCAGTCCAGCCCCACAATAAAAAAGATTTCTAATATACTATTTAGTAAGTAATTTTAAAGATTGAGAAACATAAATAACTTTAACCTTTTATCTTCAAGATCTGGTCTCTGGCTGTTCTTCTCTTGAGTAAGAAATACAAGCAGCTTCCTCATATGCTTACAACTAATTTACTCATTGCTCAGGTTAGTATACCTATAGATATTTACTCATTGCTCAGGTTAGTACACCTATATATTTACTCATTGCTCAGGTTAGTATACCTATAAATATTTACTTGTTGCTCAGGTTAGTACACCTATAGATATTTACTCATTGCTCAGGTTAATATACCTATAGATATTTACTCGTTTAAGCAGTGCTCCCCTGGGATTATTGTACTGTATGAGAGAAAATTACTTCGTTAGATTTCTTTCAGGTACAAAGTCAGGATTATTAGTAGATATAATCAATTTAATTACAGCTATTTATGCTTGATATATTAAATGTTGTAATCTGTTTTAAACTTTGAGATTAATAAAGGCAATTAATGATAACTTGGCATTTTAAGATACAAACAATTGAATCATTAAAAATTGAACTCTTACTTGGGTGTGGTGACCCACACTTACAATTCTGAGCATTTAGGAGGCTGAAGCAGGACGACTCCATCTTGAAGATTAAAACAATAACAAAAAGAGAGCTCACATGACCTTGCTTTACAGTTCGGTCTTAGCATGTGGTCATAATGGAAAGAAGTTTAATTAACATTTTCTATGTAAATCATTAATAAATAAAACTAGAATTTAGGATATGGTCTTTATTTTCATTTAATATGTACATTGTTGAAGGCTCAATGGAAAAGAGGTTTTTTTAATCATAAAGCTTGAAATTTTAGTAAAACCAATATGTAACAATTGATGATTGGCAATAGTTTTAAATGAAGGATTATTTTCTGTGAATAAAATTTCAATGGGTATGATTAGGTTAATAATTTCTTCTGTTATGATATTGAATCGTACAATTTACTTTTAACTACTTACAAAATCTTTTAATAATTTTTTCTTTAGTCTATTGTTTGTGCTGGAATGATGATATGGAATTTTGTTAAAGAAAAAAATTTTGTTGGACAAATTTTGGTGTTTGTTCTATTGTACAGCTCCCTGTACAGCACCTATTTGTGGACAGGTAAGTTGGCTCATGAAAGGACTGTTGAAGTCTGCCCTCTCCTCTCCCTCTAAAAGACTCAGCATCTACTGATCCATTTGTAATCTTTTAGCATGGTCAAGGTCCTTATTCTGTTTGTTACACACACACACACACACACACACCCCACATCTGCAAAGCTGATTTATCTGCCGGGGCAGTATTTCTGCCAGGCTCAAAGCCCTCTTCAGTCACATGGTCATTTTCTTTGGGGGGGGGGGTCATTAACTCTAGGCCAGTGTCATCGTAGCACCCGCTTGGAGACACCAGGTGGAAAAGGGCAGAGATTCGATGTGTCCCAGAGCTCACTTCTGGGATTCTATTGAACTGCAAGCTGTGGGTTTGCCTCATACAAATTAACTACCTTTGGGTCTTCCTGTGCTTTTGTTTGTTTGTTTTATTTTGTGTTTATTGGTGTTTTGCCTGCATGTATGTCTGTGTGAGGATGTAAAAAACCCTGGAACTGGAGTTACAGACAGGTGTGAATTGCTATGTGGGTGCGGGGAATTGAACCTGGGTCCTCTGTAAAAGCAGCCAGTGTTCTTAAGCTCTGAGCCATATCTCCAGCCCCTGGGTTTTCTGTTTTATTACTCCTAAAACTGGCTTGCAGCACATTACACAGATATTCTGAGAATGAAGTGAATATAGGTATTTATATCTGCTAACAGCAGACATTCAAGAAATGGGAATCTATTAATCATGTAATAGAGGGAAAAGAGGCAATAAAAGAACAAGAAAGATGAGTAAGAAGATGTTGGGGGAGGCTGTGGAGATGACTTAAAGTGGTTAAGAGTACTGACTGCTCCAGAGGACCTAGGTTCAATTCCCAGCACCCAAATGAAGGCTCACAACTGTCTGGAACTACAGTTCCTGGGTATCCAAAGTCCTTTACTGGCTGGCCTCTATGGGCACCAGACATACACATGGTACATAGACATACATGCAAGCAAAACTTTCATATAGATAAAATAATTTTAATAGAGGACCCAATGATAAAGAATAGTCTTTCAATTGACTCCAAAAAAGAAGACAAAATGTTTAAACATTGCTATTTTGAAATGTAACATTCGTTTAGAGAAAGACATTCTGTTAGGTTTGTGAAAAGTACTGTCTGGTTTGGTTGTTTTTGTGTTTACACCACAAATTTGAAATTGTAAAATGGTCCAGAAGGGAAATTGTACAGTGGCCAATAAACAAGGGCCAGGAAGTGATTGCGTGGGAAGACCTTTGGTTTCATGCCCTAAGGATCAAAAGTTGGTCCCATCTAAGTCCACAGCCTTTTGAAGTGAAGCAGTAATGTGGAGAGGAATTACAGAATGACCAATTCACAAGCCCAAGATGGTTTGTACTTCTTTGAGGCAAGTATAACTGTCATAGCATGAGACTTGTCCTGAGATGTCAAATTAAAAGAACCTGTAATCCCAAATATAGGTGGCCCAAACTGACCTCTAGTGCCTAAGTTTATTCGGGTGGAATTTGTAATCAGAGTGAGAAAGCAACAAACAGAGCAGTCTGCCAGAAAGCTCTAACTATCTCCAAAACCCTCAAACATGCATGCTGAGATCTGTCTAAAGAATTTATTAATTCTCTGGTACAATAAAGATGCCCTGTGATTATCAGGTTATTATAAATACAGCAAGCACAATTTTATGGCTCAGTTGCCAAAGGCTAGGCTTACAACCAAAAAGACAAAATTACAGAGCCATTCAGTGTATTCTAAAATCTCATGTTCAATCATTTTCAGATTGGTTTAGAAACCACCTTCACCATTTCTGTCCTATCTGCACAGCACTTGCTATGTTTTTCCCTTTAAAATCAATTGCTTTTTAACACATCCACTAAATCCAATGCCAGTGAAGCCCCAAGCTTTACAAGCTAATCAAACAGTTTCAAATGTACATTGAATGTATAAATAATCCACTTCTCCACCTTTTTGTGGGTCTGGTTTAAATGTTTCATTTTGCAAATTATGAAAGCAAGCCCAAGAGCTGAATGCTCTTAATCGGATTGTCCCAGCTGTCATCTCACAGCCCTGCTTCTTCACAGAGCAAGGGAATCAGCATTTCAGAGTGCCCAGCCCTTCTCAGGGACCCCAGAATCAGAATTTCAGAGTGCCCAGCCCTTCTCAGGGACCCCTGTATCTGTTTATGTTACTTCTAGTTTAAAGTGTTAATTTTCCATGCCCGTTTATGTTACTTACAACTTAAAGTATTAATTATAAGACAGGATTTTATTTTGCTAATGTGGATCACAGCTTGAAATGTAAAATGGAACTCTGCTGTCCTTTTTTTTTTTTTCTTTAACGTTAGCTTCAGTTACTTACACATACAGAGTTATGATCTGGTTATCTCATTGACTTTCTTTCTTCAAACTCCTGGAGAGTCTTCATTTAACTGTAAGCTGTAATATCATCTGGCCTTCACTTATCTCAAACTTAATATGTAAAAATGAAATCTAAGTTCCGATTAATGAGACCACTTGATTGTATGGTGGACACAGTTTATCATTGAAGTATCATTGAAAATATACTGAAGAGACTAAAAGTTTCTTATAGACATATTATTTACAGATCCTGAAAATACATTGTAGGAACCCCAGGGCAGTTTCAGAACTTCTCATGTTCCTCAAAAGTCTGGGTTTCTCCTGCCCTCTGCCCTCTGCCCTCTGCCCTCTGCCCTCTGCCCTCTGCCCTCTGCCCTCTGCCCTCTGCTGGGTGACTTGGGCAAGCCTTGTTTCTTACATACCTATGAAATTAAAGTGTTAATTTAAAATGGAGGCTCTTTCCACCTACAGTACTCAGATTCTGTAACCCTGTGGAGTTTATTAAGTGCCACAGGTATAAGTAACAGTGTTAGGCATAAGGAAAGTTTGGGAACCTGAAAATAAGCTGGATGTCATAACACCTGTCTCATTTCAGCACTCAGAAGGCTGAGGCAGGAGGATGGAGAGTTTAAGGACAGCTGGGCTACATAGCAATGCAATCTCAAAAACCAAACCAAAACAACAACAACAACAACAACAAAAACAACTTGGAATATTTATGTCTGTATTAGATTTGCACCACATTTGTATTAAGTTTAGATCATTTTTTATATGATGCTTCAGCACTACATTTGAGGCATTTTCTAAAACCTAACCTGGGTAAGAAATGTATATACTTCTTAGCACCAACAAAATGGAATCACTCTTAGAAATGTTCTGTAAGCCGGGCGTTGGTGGCACACGCCTTTAATCCCAGCACTTGGGAGGCAGAGGCAGGCAGATCTCTGTGAGTTCGACACCAGCCTGGTCTATAAGAGCTAGTTCCAGGACAGCCTCCAAAACCACAGAGAAACCCTGTCTCGAAAAACCAAAACAAGAAAGAAATGTTCTGTATACAGTTAACTTTTCCAATTTTACTTAATTCTAATCACATAAATGAAAAAAAAATGGCTTTTGAAAAGAAATCATTCAGTAAAACAAGATTTGAGTAAAGAAATGATTATAGGAAGGAAAACAAAATGATTTTAATTTGGAAAAATTAATTCAAATAACATTTATTTATGAGGAAAATTTAGAATAAAACCCATACTATTATTTGAAAAAAAAAAAAAAAAAAAAGAAAGGAAAGAAAAGCCCTGGAGTGCACACTTGTAACTACAGGACTTGGGAAGTGGAAGGGGGGTAATAGGAGTTCAGCTGATACCTGATACCCAAAACCAGGCAAATGAAGTCACAAAGCAAAATGAAAATTGGCCACCAGAAGACCAAAACAAGTCCAGTGTTCTACAAAGTGCTGCACCTTCTGCTCAATGTCAAGTAACCATTTCTTTTACAATCCTGCTTTCTTGTTTCTAGGCCTTCTAGCCGTTTCTTTGTTTCTTTTAAAAAAGAGGGAGAGCATGCAGATCCCTGTGGGAATTATCATAATATCTGGCTGGGGGTAAGTGGCCTTCCTCTGTTTGTTTCTGGGTTCCCATACATGACTACTGCTCATTCACTGTCTTTCTCAATGATTCTGGTTACAGAATCCCTGCTCTCCTTGTTGGTGTGCTGTTGATAACTGGAAAACACAATGGAGACAGCATTGACTCCGCCTTCTTTTATGGAAAAGAGCAGGTGGGAAGAGGTTATTAGCAGTTCCCTTCTTGAAAATGTCTTTTTAGCTAGTTTGTGTACCTTGATATTCTTATATTAAAAATAAATTGAAAGCATATTTTAATTTATTGTATATGACATTGGTGATTTTATAACACCTTATGACACCAAGATATGAATATGTTTAGCAAAAGACTTATAAATGCTTATAACTTGATTTTTTAATTTTGTTTTTTAAGATTTATTTACTTTTATTTTGTGTATGAGTGTCTTGTCTGAATGTTCGTACACGCATGATGTATGTGCAGAAACTGTGGGGGCCAGGAAAGGGAGTTGAATCCCCTGGAACTGGAGTTACAGACTGTTCTGAGTTGCCATGTAGGTTTTAGGAATCCAACCCAGCCAGGACCTCTGTAGGAGTAGAAAGTGCTTTTAACTGCTGAGCTATCTATCGAGTCCCCTTAATTGATTTCTTATCAAGATACATTTATGAACTATGTTCTTTCTGCTGAAGGAAAATAAAACAACTTAGTAGTAATAGTAAATGTCGAATATGTTACTCTTATGGGAAGTATGAATCCCAGGACAAAGCATATCTGAGGAAAGTGTGATTGCAAAGCTATACACCAGGAGTTCTGTGGGACTTGCTGAATTCTTCAGGGATAGGATCCATAGCCATGATTTTAAAAGCTTCCACAAAAGATTTTTTAATTCTTACCTTTTGTTTTGTAATTTTGAACTTTAATTCAGTTTTGTGAGAATAAACAAGATTATATATAAAAAGGACTTATACTAATACATCCAGCTGGTGCTCATAAATATTAGCTGTAATTTTTATAATCATAACAATTAGAAAGCCTCCATTTACTGAAGTATGGTTGAACTACATGGAGCATTTAGAAGTAAATAAAGGAGACATAAGAAATCATTTGGGGGACTGGAGAGATGGCTCAGAGGTTAAGAGCACTGGCTGCTGCTCTTCCAGAGGACACAGGTTCAATTCCCAGTACCCACATGGCAGCTAACAACTGTAACTCCAAGATCTGACATCACCACAAACATATATGCAGGCAAAACACTAATGTGAATAAAAAAAAATAAATGAAATCTCGTTTATTAAAGAAAAAAAGGAAATCATTTGGTTACTTAAAGAAAACCAATGACTGTATTGTTAACTACTTGCTATACATGAAACATCTAAGAAACTTGCATGATTAAAGCAACGATTTCTTGACAAGTAAATCACATTCCTTCCATACTCCTACCCATTTTGAAGAAATGTTGTCCTGTAGTGTTTAAAGCTATACAGATACATTTGCTATCAAAAAGTGTTCTTTTAAATTTTTTAAAATGATTTATTTTTATTTTATATGCATTGGTGTTTTACCTGAATGTGTGTCTGTGAGGGTGCCCAGAACCCCTGGAACTGGAATTACAGGCAAGTATGAGCAGCCATGTGGGTGCTAGGAATTGAACCCAGGTCCTCTTGAAGAGCAGACAGTGTTCTTAAACATTGAGTCATCTCTCCAAAAATGTTTTCTTAAACCCAGTGTACTAGGATTAAGATGAGATTATGAAAGCTAGCCTAACATCTTTTTCTGATTCTGGCAGATGATCACCACAGCAGTCACCCTGTTCTGCAGCATTGTGATAGCTGGTGTGTCACTCATGTGCATGAACCGTACCACCCAAGCAGGCCACTATGAAGGTTTCGGCCAATCTCAGAACCACAAGCCAGTAGAGCCTGCAAGCACTGCATTTGAGGAGAGCCAAGCACCAACAAATGAACCAGAACTCTTCCCAAGTTCTATCCCAGAGAGAAGTATGAGCTCTACATTTTGTGTGTGTGTGTGTGTGTGTGTGTGTGTGTGTGTGTGTGTGTGTAATTTTATTATTTTTCAAGACAGGATTTCACTGTGTAGCTCTGGCTGTCTTTGAACTCACTCTATAGACCATGCTGGCCTCAGACTCACAGAGATCTGCCTGTCTCTGCCTCCTGAGTGCTGGGATTAAAGTCATGTGCCACCACTGTCTGACACTCTCTATCTATTTTAAAACAAACAAAAACTGTCACATGTATACTAGATGTTTTTGTTCAATGTAAATTCACTATACTACTCTAAATATTACAGGTATTTGTCAGTTGAACAATGTTATTAATTCTATTAGATCTTCATTCTTCTAGTAGTACATCTATTAATCTGAGATTTATGTTTTGTTGAATTCTAAAACTTCCAAGAGAGGATGTTTGGTTGGTTGGCTGGCTGGCTGAAACAGGGTCTTACTCTGTATCCAAGGCTGGCCTCAAACTGCTGATCCTCCTGCTTAAGCCTCCTGAATGCCGGGATGACAGGTATGAGCCATTTTGCTGGTTTTCAGTGCTGGGGATTGAACCCAGAACCTCACACACACTCGGCAAGTATTCTACCTCTAAGCTATGTCCCCAGCTTTGGCCTAAGAATTTTGGAAGAAGTAAAAGAAAAGGAAGGTTCTTCCTGAAAGAAAACACATACATTTCCCCCTTTAGCAACATTCATCAGGCAAGTGCCACCAAAAGATGAATTTTAAGGAAAGGCCTAACTGAATTTAAGGTTAATCATAGAAATTAGCCACTATAAACTATAGCCCGCAAGTCAGACTTGCCACCTGATTTTTTTTAAGATTTTATTTATTTATTATGTACACAACATTCTGCTTCCATGTATATCTGCACACCAGAAGAGGGCACCAGATCTCATAACGGATGGTTGTGAGAAACCATGTGGTTGCTGGGAATTGAACTCAGGACCTCTGGAAGAACAACCAGTGCTCTTAACCTCTGAGCCATCTCTCCAACCTGCCACCTGATTTTTATATAGTTTCTCAGTTAAGAATGTTTTTTGTTTTTGTTTTGTTTTGTTTACATTTTTAAAAGATTGGCGTTAAGAGATTTTTTTTTTTATTATGTGTTGTGTTCTGCCTGCATGTATGCCTGCACGCCAGAAAAGGGCACCAGGTCTCATTCCAGATGGTTGTGAGCCACCATGTGGTTGCTAGGAATTGAACTCAAGACCTCTTTTTTTTTATTTGTTTGTTTTTTGGGGGTGGGTTGTTTGTTTGTTTATTTGTTCTTTGAGACAGAGTTTCTCTGTGGCTTTGGAGGCTGTCCTAGAAGTAGCTCTTGTAGACCAGGCTGGTCTTGAACTCGCAGAGATCTGCCTGCCTCTACCTCCAGAGTGCTGGGACTAAAGGTGTGCGCCACCAACGCCCGCCTTGAACTCAGGACCTCTTGAAGAGCAACCAATGCTCTTAACCTCTGAGTCATCTCTCCAGCCCCCAAGAGATGTGGGTGTTTTTGTTTGTTTGTTTGTTTGTTTGTTTGTTTTTAATGTCTCTTAAAATTCTATGAAACTTGAATTTCCCATGCACAAAGTTGTGGAGTATAGTCACAATCATTCACTTGAGTGTTGTTGGTGGCTGGGTTCATAGTAGACTGACAGTGTTGAATCATTGCCACAGAGCCGGAATGGCCTTTATGAAAAGCGCTTGTTTATTTCATTTCACAGTTTGTAGTCTATCAGCCTCCCATCACCTCATCAACCAGTCTAGCTTATGTGAAATGGCCCAAGTAACTTTCCTCATGGCGCTATGAGACTCCTGCTGCAGTGCACGTCAAGACTCTCAAGTCCCTCCAATACCCTGTTATTCCTTCTTAACCCCTGTTCTTCCACTCCCACTGCGCATGCTCCAGACTCCCCATGCTTTGCCCCAGACTGGCACTCACGGCATCTCTCCTCTCTTCCTGCTTTTGCTGCAAAGTCCTTCAGCCTGGGCTCACTGGTAATTTGTGATGACATCATCAGAATTTTATTCTTTTAAGCTTCTTGAATGTGTTCCTTTTAAAACTGAAGTTCCGGGCAGTGGTGGCGCACACCTTTAATCCCAGCACTTGGGAAGTAGAGGCAGGTGGAGCTCAGTGAGTTCAAGGCAAGCCTGGTCTACAAAGTGAGTTCCGGGACAGCCAGAACTGAAACCTTGTCTCAGAAACAACAACAACCAAAAGAACCCTGGGGTTCAACAACATCTTTCCTATAATGTTAGACTCTGCTTTCTGTAAGCCCAGGATACTTCCCTTTCTCACTTTCTTTGCACTGCAGTCTAAGTCAATCTGATTTGGATAGACGTAGAAGACCACCACCTTCAGGCAGCCTGCCATGTCTTCCTCCATGAATGTTTTAGATGGCTACCAAAAGCTAATATCTCTGAGAAGCACTAAACAAGGGACATAGAGGACCTTTGGGAGACTTTTGTATTTAACTTTCACCTGACTTTTAGAAACAGCAAAAACTAAACGGTAGGCTTTAATCCCTGTTGATATCATCCTCAGCAAGAAAATGAATTTGAATCTATGTTGTAAACAGGAACAGCTCTCTGCTATGTCCACAGGAAACCTGAAGTGTGCATGCTTTTGTCTCCTTATTTATAACCCTAATTTCACTGTAGTTTTTTGTTTTGTTTTTGTGGGACTGGAATTGAGCCCAGGGTCTCATGAATGCTAGAAAAGAGCTCTCTCCTAGAGCTGTATCCACAGCCTCCTCCCTCATCGCACTGTTTCATAACTGCTCTTGTTTATCTGGCCCACTATCATGTAAATATGACTTCTGATTTGTCTTTATAGCCTCAGTTCCCAGTGAGATATCAGGCTTACTGTGCATACTTAGTAATATTATTTTTATATGAAATATAGTTGGAAGGGTGCCATAATCCTCCTATACAATAATGAAAACTGCTTCAGTAAAATACTTAAGTATCTGTTTTTCCTGAGGAAAAAAGTTTTAAAGTCTGTCTGGCTATTTTCTCCCCTACATCCTGTTTTCTTCTGCTTTTGTAGAAGTATAAACACAGGACACCTCAGATGACCATCTTGGCCTCTTGTCTAGTTTGGTAATTCCACATAGTCCATTGATCTCTGTCTCTTGTTGTATATTTGTTAGAGACCTATGACTTTTGTATTAAATGGTGTAAAATTAGGATCACATTTTATATGTGGTCAAGAGTTTAGTTAGTATGGCTGGAGAGATGGCTCAGTGATTGAACACTTGCTATTCTTGCAATGGGCCTGGATTCAGTTCCCAGTGCCCACGGCTCACATTGCAGGTCCAGGGGATCAGATGCCCTCTTCTGGTCTCCTTGGACACCAGGCACACACCTGATGCAATACATACATGTAGACAAAACACTCATGCACATAAAACAGAAACATAGGAATCTTTTGAATAAATAAATCTTGAAAATAGATTAAAAAAAACCAGTTTGTGCGGGGCGTTGGTGGCGCACGCCTTTAATCCCAGCACTTGGGAGGCAGAGGCAGGCGGAGCTCTGTAAGTTCGAGGCCAGCCTGGTCTCCAGAGCCAGTGCCAGGATAGGCTCCAAAGCTACACAGAGAAACCCTGTCTCGAAAAAAAACAAAACAAAACAAAACAAAAAACCAGTTTGTTCAATAAACTGTTTGTTTGTTTGTCTAATAAAGGAAAGCTGATGGCTACTGATAAGCCCTTATGTTTGAAGGAAGAAACTGCAGAGTTTTTTTACAGAGGCCATGATTGCTTATTTATGTACACATCTGTGTGCATGCAAGTATTTATTCCCTATATGTATATCATTCAAATGTGCTGGTCTCATGTGTTTTCTTAGTTTTTATATCATTTTGTGTAATTTTATTATTTGCACCTTCACATTTCTGAAGAGAGCTAGACTAGATAGTTTATTTTCTTTTCTGTTATTCTGTGGTTCTGTTTTTAACCTTGAGGTGGCATTACTATCTTGAAATTAAAAAGGACATTTGTAATGACTTATAGATAATAGCTTTTGTACTTGGAAATCCTTTTGTTTTTAAGACTAACACAGAAGAACTTAAGTATGTTACCAATGAGAGGTTAAGCCTAACTATTCCTCTTTTTCCTTGCATGTATATTTTAATAGTTTATCTCTGAAGTTATTATTCTACTAATATTGTAATCTCTGTCAGGAAGTGCCAGGCCCATATAACTATAAAAAAAAGTTAAGGGCACTGTGTGTGTTTATCTGAGGAAATAAACATAAATAAACAAATACATAAATAAATAAACATAGAGCAAAATTACAGCTATGAGGTATGTCTCAGTGTGACTTGTGTAGAGCAGCCTGCCTGTCAACCAGCTGGAGATTCAGCCGTGTGTGCTTGCAAAGAAAACAGTAGAGCATTGCTTCTACTGAACCTTCCGGACTCATGAGATAGAAGGGCCCGAAAGAAAGAAGTGACTGATAAGATGATCCAGGAAGAGTATTCTGTCAACCATGCCCAGAAGGAGTTTTTCAACAGACTGGAAAGAACTGTCCAGAAAGAAGAGGGTGCCTTTTGTCCAGTAGCTGGGGCAGGCAGATCATGAGTCCGAGTCACAGGCAGCTTTCATTTAGGCCGACATTGGTCATCAGCAGAGCAATTGTATTCAGGAAAGTGATAAAGTCTTGTGTTTTAGGAAATGGCTGAATTCTTAGTTTCCAAAGCACAGTGGAGAGGAAGCAGCCTGGATAAAAACATTTCTCCCTGTCTCATACAGTGAGGGGACAATGTAAGGGAGCTGATTATTTGTCTGACACTGTTTAATTGCTCACTGCTGTATAGGCACACCTAGATGGATATGTGCCCGTACAGAAAATGTTTCCATGGAGACAACATGAGTGGCTTGGGCATGGTTTGGTATCTTCTGAACTCTGTGTTTCTGCTGTGGTTTGGTCCTACCTTTACATACTATTTCCTCTGTCTAGGTTGCTGTTCTTGTTCCTTGGGAAATGGTGACCTATGCTGTCCATCAACAGAGCCAGTAATGAATGCAAGTGCCAGTGGGCCTATGCCTTCTTCCATTGAGAAAAGTAAGTGCCCTGGGGCTATGAGGGTGGGCTTAAGGGGAAAAAATAAACTTTTTTATCCTTATATGTGAAAAGAATACTATACAAGCTTCCTATTGAAGCTACACACTGCAAAACATGGTTTGAGAATATGTTTCCAATAAGATGGGGGAAAGTGATAATCACAGAAACAGAACACTTTTAAAAAATAAAATCCACATTAAAAAAAAATAAAAATAAAAATAAAATCCTTAAAGGTAGTATTAAAATGGTTTCCCAATAAATTTCACTCACAGTGGTAAGTACTTGCCCAACAAACATGAAACCCTAGGTTCAATCCCCAGGATTTTCAAAACAAAAAACAAAGGTTAATTGAAGTGAGAAATCCAGAAAACTGAATTCTGGCCTTTTTTCTTCTTTTAAAAGCTGGGAGTGTCCCCCTAGCTTTATTCTCTAGGACCAGGACTAATTAATTGGTTGGGCTCTTTCATAAAATGCAAGAGATAATAGTACATTTGTTTCATGGGTTGTCAAACTAGGACATAATAGGGTATTTGTGGCTCATGTGGATTTATCACAGATAAAACTTCATTAATCCAATCTTTAAAATTATATTTAAACTATATAAAGTATGTCTAAGTTATGTATCATAATTATATAGCATAATTTTTGTAGACAGAGACCCTTGATAAGTATGTAAACGGAACTACTGCATACAGCTTGTGTGTTTTCAAAGAGACTCTCCAATATAACATGAGAGGGTTTTCCAGGGTCACTGACAGTCAGATCCTGAGTCTTAGCTGTCCTGTTTCTCTTGGGATGTCATCATGGGCTTGAAATAATTACAGCTGTTCTCACTATTTTGTAGCGGACCACTGTGTGAGTCGCTGTGATTCCCAAAGCTGCATCCTAGCCCAGGAGGAAGAACTGTACCTGCAGACTGGAGACCCCCAACTGACTCGACATGTCCTGCTGTGTTTACTTCTCATCATTGGCCTGTTCGCTGTAAATGCTTCTTTTGCTTCTAGTTGGGGTTATTTCTTTAAATGTTGGCTTCTGTCAGAGAAGCTTCATTGCTACTTCACAGAAGTATGGTGTCTAGGTCATTTGAATTTTAACGTTTAGTTAAATGTTTGAGGCACAGAGATGGAGCAAGGAGTGAATTGTTTATTCTGTTCCCCAGTCACTGTAATGGTCTGTTATGTGTACAGTCACTTATTCATTCTATACTCTTGAACCTGGAATTTGTCAAAACAAAGTATTTCCATGATATATACAAGACTGCTTACTTCTGACAGTGGACAGATAGCTAAATTATCTCTCTAAAGATATTTTCAGATAAACTTTTAAAAATAATTTTTAGGTCGGGCATTGGTGGCTCATGCCTTTAATCCCAGCACTTGGGAGGCAGAACTCTTGTGAGTTCCAGGCCAACCTGATCTACAGAGGGAGTTCCAGGACAACCTCCAAAGCAATACAGAGAAACCCTGTCTCAAAAAAAAAAAACAAGACAAAACAAAAACAAAAAAACAAAACCACATGGTAACATATATATATATATATATATATATATGCATATGTATATATATATATATATATATGAAATTCATACACATCCTTTAAAATTTTTAATGGTGAAAATCTTCAAACTATAGAAAGAACAAGAAAAACATCCATCACACTAATGCCTTCTAATTTTTTTCTTTTTCCTTATTATTTAATTTTTTGTGCTAGAGATTGGACCCAGGGCTTCATAAATGTTAATCACAAGCTTAACTACTGACCTCTATCCTCAGCCCTGCCTACTAATTTTTCAGCACACACTGCATGATTGTAAAAGAACATTTGGGCTTCTATGTTGCTTTTTTTCACCTATGTCAAACAAGGCTACTTGACTGAAGTGTTCAAAGCCATTGTTTTAAATTACTTCCCCATAACCACAGAAAAGCAACATGATAATTTATTCAAGTACTTCTTCATGAATTGTTTATAATTTTTCAAAATGCCCTAATAAATACCTCCAGACATTTGTATTTCCTATTGGTAGATCCCTGAAGTTGATAACCCTGCATCAAAGTTTAGAAGCATTTCTATGACACAAATGTATTCTACTGATTCTTCTCCAAAGGGGTAGTGCATGTCCTCATGCCGGCATAAAATACCGAAGGATTTTCAATGTTATAAGTACAGTACTTTATTTTATTGTATACATTTCTTTAATTATAGAAAGGGTTTTATTTGCTATCCTCATTTGTGAATTATCCATTGCTACACATCATCCCTTAAGATGGTTCAAGTGTGACTCCCTAGAGATGGGAGATGGGCCAGAAGCCTCTGCAGCCTTTTCACACTTGGACTTTCATGGCTTAGCGTGATATTAGCCAGCGACACTTAACGGCCATCTAAGAACAAAAGTCAAAAAACAAGAACTGCTGCCAAGAACTGCTGCTTAGTGATACAATTGTTTTATTCTGTTAAACTAATTTTAAAATCCATCCTGTGTAGGCTAGTCGGCAGTCCTGATATATTATGTAAGCTCCTGTATTATGGCTCGTGTCTTCTTGCTTCAAATTTGATCAGAATAGACACTGTTTGAATGGCATCTGTCAAGAGGAGAGGTTGAAACCTCTTGTTTGAAAGACAAAGCTTCTACATTCTCTCAGTGTTTTTCCCCTTCAGTCTTCCCCCCCTAATTATTAGCTAGAGAAGCCATCATACTGTGCGCTCGGTGGAGAGAAATGATTCTCGTGCCTAATTTTTAAGCACCTCTTTCTTCCCTTTACAGAATCTCTCTAGTTGTTTATGGTGGCTGTTCAACCATGAGACTGGACGTTTGTATGTGGAACTGCAGTTTTTCTGTGCTGTGTTTAACTTCGGCCAGGTATTTATTTACTGGGAGCTGGGAGGGCTCTGTTTTCTTGGGTGAGTTGATTGCGAGGTGGTGAGGTGCAGACGTTGTTTTCTTTTACATCAAAAGGGTTCAGTTTGTTTATCAGCTGCTGGTACGCACGACAGCTGACAGCTGCTGCCTGTCTCCCCGTGGAGATGAATTATTATATTGGTTGAAGTCATCAGAATGTATGCTGAGTGTTTCAACCAGAAATACCAAAGTCTTTCTTTTTTGCTTTGGCATTGAGATGAAGAATAATAATTTAAGTAGGAACAAGATGTCCCCAAATCCTTCTTAAACTTCTTATGATCTTTACAACTCACTTTGGAAAATAACCACACACTTCTCTGAGCCTTTAGTTTGGCCACCTAACACTACTAAATATCACATTGTTTCTGAATGACATGTATTTATATTGCTATTGTAAAAATCATGTGACATATAAATACATTTCAGCAGAAACAGCAGTAACCTTTCTTCAAAAGTCTACCATATACCAACTCTTGTTAAGGATTTTATATTCATGATCTCATGTAAACCCAAAATACCTGCAGGATAGATACTATCATTCCCCCTCTCATGTTACTATTAAAATTGATATTTAATGTCTGGTACTTAGAAAGCTCTGAGTTTAATTCTTAGCATTGGAACAAAAGGGGGCTATTTAAAGAAAAATAGCATTTTAAATTTTGGGAAATATTTTATATGCAAAGTCCAAAATTCGATCTTCTCATCAACCCAATTTTCTTATCCCTTCCATTTTAAGGTGCTGGGGATCCAATTTTCACTTGTGCATACCAGGCATACTAGTACATGAGTTACACATAACTACACTAACCCAAATACCCAATTCAAACCCTTACTTTTTGGTTAGAGAATATTCAAAAACTATCAACTTGAAAAATACTGTGTTGGAAATCATCCTGCCTATTAAATTTGAAATATTTTGCCATATAAGGTCATTAAAATTTGTCAGTTTCTGCTCCTACATGTTTTTGCCTTCCACTAGCCACTCAAAGTGTTTCCTGTTTGTTTTGATATTGTATTGGAAGAAGACCAGTGAAGCATAAAGGAACACATTATGTAATCGGTTCATTATAGACAAACTTGGGCGCCCCAGAGCCATCTGACACTAGTCTCACTTTGTGAAATTATTTAGGATCTGACATTATCTAACTATAGAATCCTAGGCTGAAAATTCACAGTTCTCCTAAGCACTTTACATTCAAGAAGCCCACTCCAGATTGAGCCATGCTAGGACAGGAACCACGCAAGCTCCATTCCACAGGGCTTTGTTTGTCAAGAACATAACTAAGGGCAGGAATGTCGCACTTCAAATGCTGCCTACACAGCTTCTGTTTCTAGTGGCTCAAAGGCCTGAGAAGACACAATCTCACTCCAATCCTATTTTCCTTTTAAGGACTTGGTGTAGTGCAGTGTTCCCTTCTGACTATCTGTAGTTAAGACAATCAAGGTTTTGTAATATTTTTTTATTTAAAAACTTATAATTATGGTGTGTCTGGGGAAGATGGGGTGTGCACGTGTGAGTACAGGTGCCTGTGGAGGCCAGAAGAGAGGGTCATATCCCTTGGATCTGAGTTCCAAGCAGTTTTGAGCCACTCAGAATTGGTGCTGAGAACTGAGCCCAGCTTTTCCAGAAGAGTGCTATGTACCCCCACCCCCACTGCTAAGCACACCCTCTACCCTCATGCAACAGTGCATGAAGAACCATGCTTGTAAGGCATAAGTCTTTGGGGGACCTTTCATATCTACGAAATAATGCTAACAGTATTACAATTAGATATTACAGCCCTCCTTAATTATATTTATGATGTTTCAACAGAAAAATAATAAGTACTTAGACACACACGGATTTTCTTTTCAAAAAGGGGGAAACAAAAACATGTAGGCTTTAAGTGTTTTCATTTATTTCTTTAGGGAGCTGTTGTGCAAATGCAGTTCTTCAGCACTGGCTTTTAGGACCCGTCATAATTACTAGGACAGAATGACTGGGAAGAGGCAACAAGCAGGGTGTCATGTATGCCTGCAGGCACTGAACTTAAGTCTGCTTTGTATGCTGAGTTTAAAATGTTGCTCTATTCACTATCAGCTGCTCCCTCTGTTCTAAATGTCTTCATTTCTGTCTCAAGGTTTTACTGTTGAGTTCAGACACAATAACTGTTTTCTCCCCTAGGGATTTATTTCCTTTGGAATCTTTGGTTTGGATAAACATTTAATCATCCTACCTTTCAAAAGAAGGTAAATTCAGTTTTGAAATAAGCCTATGTACCTAAAGGTGATGACAAGGCCATTCTGTTAAAATATTGATACTTTTGTACTTTTATATCTGCTAGGAGATCATAAATACCACACAAAGGTTATCTGTGGAATCACATATTTGTTGCAAATAATTGCAGAGAAAGTATTACAAGAAGTATTATAAATCCAGCAATGCAATTTGCATTTTAACAAGAATTGATGGGCACTGACTTCTATCTATGCTATTAACTACATATAGTTAAACGAAATTGGAAATGGCAGTAGTAGGTGGTGTGTTCCCCCAACACAGTCCACAATCTGATTGTTTTTCTCCTTTGACAATAGGCTTTCTCTTTCTATAAAACTGAGAGTTTACAGTAAATTCAACGGTTCTCTCAACTTTAGGATTTTATTGGGGTTTTTCTGGCTCCCAGGAAGGTTTATTTGAATTAAGATCAAGGTTTCTTTATGAAAAATAACAAGGTAAAAATTTCAACATGGGGTGGAAAGAGAGGCAGGGGAAAATGTTTGTTCATTTGCTCTCACAGGAAAATTCATAGATACTAGAAATGCTAATGGAATTCAACCTACCTACCCTATAAGGAGTGCCAATTAACAGTGTCTGTCCCTTCTCCTCTGTCATCATAACCATCGTTATCATCACTAAGATGTCATTGCTAAGATGTCATCATCATTTCTAAAAGAAAAGTATAATAGAAAAGCCATTCAACTTAGTTGCCAGCTTCATAATGCTGGCTAAGTCAATTGTCAACAGTTGTATTTGCCTGGATAGACAGAACGGACTGCCTTATACCCCAGAATCTGGCATTTGTTTCTGTGCTACTAATGTTGCAAATGGTGAAAAAAAAATGCTTAAGTTACCTTGGTTGGTTTTGTTTTGTTTTTAGTTTCTGAGGCAGTCTGAGACATCCCGCTGAGTTTCTAAGTTATGTCTGTGTTTCAAAAAGGTCAGACACAGAAGGAATATCTTAGTGGAAACGGAAGTGGGTCAAACATATCTAGAGAGTGTATAAAGTGATCAGCCTGCCCAAAGAGCAGGTGTAGAAAAACAAGGGCATTTCTGGTTCAGAGACTAATGACATCTGGGTGTTGATGACAGAGTTTTGGTGACTGGATTTGAAATAGCTACTTGGTGAGGCAGGTTGGATCTTCTCACAACTGTTCTCTTTCCTTAAGAAACAGCCCGCTTAAATTTTGGTTTTCAGGCTTGAATTCCTGTGGAACAATAAGGAGACGGCAGAAAACAGAGAATCCCCTGTTTCTGAGGAGATAAAAATGACCTGTCAACAATTTGTACATTATCACCGTGACCTGTGCATCCGAAACATTGTCAGAGAAAGAAGGTAAAGCCGGCACAGGGTGCAGATTGCAGACTATTAACATTAGCTTTTAACAACTGATAGTTGTGGGTGAGTTTACAGTTTAAGAACTAAGATACAAAAATGACATATCACTTTGGTTTTTACGTTTGATATCAGATAGCTCCTGATTTCTATATAAAATGTGAGCTGTAAAAGGATCCCGTGTGGCAGGGTATTAACACTCTCTTCATGTTGGCCATTAGTGTCTGTCATAAAGCACCGAAAGCCACAAGATTTAGCAGGGATTTTATGGTCTCATCCCCTAGTGCTATGCCATTTCATATTACTAACGATACTGTCAAGAGAACCAGAGGAAATTTCTACCTCTTAATTAATTCTATGATATTTATTTCACCTCAAGTCCTAGTCATTAATTTGTGACATTATATTTATTCTTCTAATCCCGAAGGTACAGAATATGCTGCAGCAGGAAACGATGAACTATGAATAATCAGATATTACAGTGCCGATAGTTTTAGTTGTCATGAAAGAGGAGATAAAACAAAGAAAAAATAAATAAAGAACTGGGGTTGGAGAGGTGGCTCAGCAGTTAAGAGCATTGCCTGCTCTTCCAGAGGTCCTGAGTTCAATTCCCAGCAACCACATGTGGCTCACAAACCGTCTGTAATGAGATCTGGTGCCCTCTTCTGGCCTGCAGTCGCACATGCAGGCAGAACACCGTATAAATAATAAATAAATCTTTAAATAAAAAAAAAAAGAATCTAATACCTTTATGTGTATTTCTAAAAATGTGGAGATTGCTATTCCAGATAGTTCATTTCTAAACACTGTCCCACTATGCATGCCAATATGCATACCATTACAACCAGAAGAATATAGCCTGGTAGAAGAAGTGGGAAGGAACTCCCTGAAAACAAACAAAAACAGAACTCCCCAGCAGGCACTTCTTTGCAAGTTCAATTCTCAAAACCTCAGATTTCCTTTTCTTTAAAAAAAAAAAAATCCTCCTCAGGGCCTGGAGAGATGGCTCAGCAATTGAAAGCACTTGTCTTTCAGATCCCCAGCTTCTCAGTTTCCAGTACTCACACAGTGGCTCACAAACTTCTGTACTCCAGTTTCAGGGGACCCAGCTCCCTCTTCTGGCCTCCTTGGGCACCAGGCATGCACATGGTGCACATACATACATGGAGGCACAGCACTCACACACATAGAGAAATAATAAGTAAACCATAGAGGAAAATCTTACTTTGATTGGCAAATGTCTGTGATGAGCCTTGCCCAGTTACTGACAATGATAAACTCTGGAGAAAAGTGACATTTCTGCCTTGAAAGAGTGCACACAATTTCAGGACACTGCCTATGGATAGTTTGAACAGTTTAGCATCACTTTAAACTTTTCTTTTAAGAAAATTCACAGTCTATTTGTCATGTTCAAGTGCTTGCCAACTGCCAGGAAGCAGAATTCTTAGCATTTGCTGAGTTACCAGGTCCCAGATGGCTGAATGGGCACCAGCTGGTATAAACCAGCTGATTCCTGCTCCTTTCCAGGATCGGCAGCCTGGCCCATGTCACATTCTCTGACACTCTGTACTATTGCATAGGCTCTTATGACAGCTGCCAGATCACAGCAATCAAGAAACAAATATCTTCAGTTACTGACTGGGACAGAAGGTATCAACTCTACATTAAAAAGACCCAGACACTGACTCTAACATTGGTATTTTAGATATTTGAGAAAAAAATGTTATTAACTTTTTTTCTAAGTCTTAGATGTGAACCTTTGTATCTGTGGTAAAATGCTTTAAATTTTTCACATCTATTTGTCATTTCATCTTGCTCTTCACCCTCTATTTCCTGTTGTCAAGCACTTTAGATTTCACAGCTTGATTGATGCTTGTGGAGGTTCCTGCTGTCTGGTGCACATTTGTAGGAAAATGTTCATAATTCATGCAATTGGTTCTCTTGTTCCGCATTTCTTTCTCTTTATCTGCTCATACTTAAGCAATCCAAATTTGCATTAGGAAGACAAATATTAGACAACCTGAAGCAAATAAAAATCAAAGCATTCTTCCCGAAGAAGATTGATTTTTATTATTTGGTGAATGTGCATGAGTCTGTGTGCATGCCTTTGGAGGTCAGAAGAGGGTGTCAGAGACCCTGGAGCTGGAGCTACATGCATTTCTGAGCTGCCGACGTAGATGCTGGGAACTGAGCTGGGGTCCTCTGGAAGAACACTGAGTACTCCTAACCAGTGAGCCATCTCTCCAGCCCCAAAGCACACTCTTAAGGTTTTGGGTTTGCTGTAGAATAGACCTCACTTGTTTGCTCCGATTCCAAATAAAGCAAATGAGTGTACTGACTGCTGAGGGAAAGAGAGTATTTGTGGACACTGTCAGCTGAACACAAAGTTTGGTTTCAGCAGGTTAATAAAACCATAGAACAACTTTTGTTCTTTGAGACAGGATTAAATCATGTAACCTATGCTCAAACCCGATTCAGCTGCCTCAACCTCTCAGGTGCTCGATTACAGCCATGCACCAGAGAGACAACTATAACAGTCAGTGATAACCAGTCATCTGTAAGACAGATAGATAAAAGGCCATACTGGAAGCCATGGCAGTTAGTGAAGTACCTGCTACACAAGCACAAGAACCAGGGCTGGTCTTTAAAACCCAAATGAAAGCTGGACTAGTGGCATGTGCCTGTCACCTCAGCCTAGTGGGGACAGAAAGCAGCCAAATTCATGAGCTTTAGGCTCAGTCAGACTCTGCCCCAATCACGGTGGAGAGCAATTGAGGAAAGACAAACATTGACCTCAGACTTCCACATACATTTGCACACATTACATGCATAAAAGTGCATATAACACACATACACACAGGCCATGCTGCTATCAAAAGATACTTCTTTTGGGGGCTTAGAGAGATGGCCCAGCGGTTAAGAGCACTGGGTGCTCTTCCAGAGGACCTGTGTTTGATTCCCAGCACCCACATGACTGCTCACAACCATCTGTTAACTCCGGTTCCGGGGAATCTCATGCCCTCTTTTGGTCTTGGGTATTGCATGCAGATGGTTCCCACCAGACATGAATTCAGGTAAAACTCCCATACAGATAAAAAATATAAATAAAAATTCTAAAACTATTCATCTATGAAACTCAATATAGTATCTACATGTCATGCATAGCTGTTTAAATTCTTGAAAATTAAGACAAGTGTTTGTTTTTTTTTTTTTTAACCTTCTTGGGGGCTAGGAAGATGGCTCAGTAGATAAAGTGCTTGCCTCACAAGCATGAGGACTGGGTTTGGGATCCCCAGAACCCACAGAGAAGCTAGGCAGCTGTGGCGTCCCGCCTGTAAATACCAGCAGCGGGTAGACACAGGCAGGGGTCTGTCTGGGGGTCATCTGGCAAGCTAGACTAGCTGGAATGGGCGAGCTCTGGGTTCAGTAAGAGACCCTGCCTCAATCAAAATCACCCATTGTCAACTTCAGGCTCCCACATGTATGTGTACATACATGTACCCCCCCACACACACACACTACATTCAAACAAGCATAAGAACAGGAACATATGCCACACACATACACACCTGTGCTTCCCTCCAGAAAGAAGTTTTCTCGGGCAACACACTCATCTATGTCGTTTTTAAAAAGTGTTTGTTTTCATGATCACTACTGGCATGTTTTATTTTTCACTGGTCTCTCGAGGGTCAGGAAAGGTCACAAAGTCTTCATGTTTAGAATAGCTCCATTTCTGTCCTGCTCTTAATTGTCATTCTGTCTTTCCTCATTTCCTCTTTATTTTTCTTTGCTCATCCTCTGTCATGCAGTGCTGACACCAGAATTACAGAACATATGGCTGAATCATTCCTTTGACATACAGGTGCGGTACAAAGACCTCCGCCGGGACTTTCTGTGGCTGTGACCTGGTGAACTGGCTAATTGAAGTCGGCCTTGCCTCTGACCGTGGTGAAGCTGTGATCTATGGGGACAGACTAGTGCAGGGAGGAGTCATCCAACACATCACCAATGAATATGAATTTCGGGACGAGTATCTGTTTTACAGATTTCTTCAGAAGAGTCCTCAACAGAGTCCTCCTGCTGTTACTGTAAGCAACCCCCAACAGGTAGGCTATAAGGAAAGTGGCCACTCATCGCCATCCTCACTTTCCCCTAAGACTTAAATTATGAACTCGAAAACCCCACGTGGACTCGCACCCTCTAGCCTTGCATCTGGCACTCTTAGCTGCGGGTCCTTGCTCGGGCAGGCTACCTTTCTGAGCGTCTGCCATCCGTAAGTGGCAAATGCATTCCTACCCATACTGACATGCTGTAACCTTATGTGTGTGGAAAGCACATAGGAAACTGACAAGAGAAACCTGGAGTTAAACGTTCTGATGATGAATACAATAATGCTATAGGTGCCTCTATTGTAACAATATTTTAAAATCATTTCTTTCTGCAACTGTTCGTTATAATTTCAAAGTCACTATCCAACTGGCTGGTAGTTTTAAATTGCCGAATTTGGCAGGATTGCTGCTCTAAAAATGAACCTTAAGACAACTTTACATTTATCCATAATACTTCCCCCAAAAGACTTATATTGTTCTAGTAAAAACTTTTATTTCTTTTTCCACTTCTTTGACAAATACTACCATTTAAAAATTAAAGCTACTGTTTTGTTTCTGAGATAAGGTCTTGTGTAGCCAGGATGGCCTCAAATTCCCTATGTAGCCAAGGATGGTTTTGTACTACTACTGATCTTCCTGCCTCTGCCTCCTGAGTTCAGGGCTTAGTGGTGTGTGCCACCATGCCTGGCTAACCCCACTATTTTTTAAAAGTGATTTTTAAATTTATTTTTATACCAATTTTAAAGCTTTATCTTTTCTTGATTTCTATCTAAAGTATTACTGTGTGCCAATAAGAAGAAAGTAAGAACAGTAATATTATCTCTATAACCTTTGCAGTTAAAATTTTAAGTAATTTGAGCATATTTATTTAAATGTTATTAAAAGTATTGCTATGAGATGCACTATTTCTGATACTTTCAAGGTATCATGTGGTAGGAGGAAAATCTATTTTATTCCCTGAATTGAAAAAGTATATAGTCAGAAATTTAAAATTCCAAACCTAGCATCCTACTTTTAGAATTTAGTCTTTAATGTGTCCATGTCTAAAAATTTGTAAGTTTAAAAATTATCAAATGTTTCTTAGTCCACTAAAACCCTTTTTAAAAAATGACATGAACTAGATAGATCCCAAGCATCAGGAGGTCTTTTTACTGGTCTAGAGGCTGGGTAGTGCAAGATCAAAGCAGCACACCGAGCAGCTGGTGAGGCCTAGGTTCAGGTTCAGTGATGGTGCCGCATAGGGTAGGAGGGAAGGGCTCTGTCTCTTCACCCTTAGGAGGGCAAATCCCATTTCAACACCTCTCCTCTCACTAGCCTGTCTTCTCCATGGCCACCACACTGCGTCTAGGTTTTGATAATTAGACTACAACACCTTCAGAAAAGCTAAATTTACCTTCTGATAATTTTCACATCCTTTGAACAGTTACTTAATTATTAGACATCAGTGATGGTTTAACTTATTTTAAACGTTACTTATCTCATAGTGTTTCATATATAAAAGCCACCTAGAAAATTATTTATGGGGTTAGTGCCCTGACCCTTTTAATGTAGCAAATACATAACTAAAAAAACAAAACAAAAACAAAAAACAAACAAACAAAAAACCTTGCATGGATGCCTAGTGTATTAAAAAGAAATGATAATTATATTATGATCTGGAATTGGGATGTTTTAGGCAGAAAAATTCAGTATAAAACTTAGGGGGGACTACAAGACACACCCACACTGTAACTCCCAATGCCCAAGAATACACAGAAGCACTTGCTCTAGCAGCCTCTGGTGACACAAGACAGAATTTACATGCATGCAAGCAACTCAAATTCAAGTGCAGGAAGTGGTTTTGCTTGTGGGTAAACCATTAAGTATGCTCTTTTATTTGCACAGGTGGAATCTGAGACATTATTTTCGATCAGAGTGATTTGCAGTTTCAGATGGTAAAGGCCGTTAAGAGGTGTTTCTAGGATTAAGGATAAGCTAATTTTATTAAATGAAAATATTTGTATGTTACTTTCTCACTGACAGCACGTTTCTCAATAAAATACTTATTTTAACTTGTATTGTCAGCCATCTTTTCCTTGAATAATCCAAATAATGGTGACCATACCACACAAGTCTTGTCTGTAAATTCTCAGTGTTTTCTTGGGTGAGTTTCCTGAGGCTATCTCATGATCTTTCCGTTTCTGCAGAGTTTGGAGCAAGCAGGCTGTCAGTAAACATCTTTTAGAAGTACCTTTTGAAGATTGGGCATAGGGGTCAGGTGCTGAGTGACAATGGAAGCGCAGTCTAAGACCGTAAAGTGTTCTTCAGCCATTTGATGAAAACCTGAAGCAATTAATTTTTGTTGTTGTTTTTCAAGACAGGTCTCTCTGTGTGGCCCTGGCTGTCCTGGAACTTGCTCTGTAGACCAGGATGGCCACAAACTCACAGATCTGCCTGCCTCTGCCTCCCAAGTGCTGGGATTAAAGGTGTGTGCCAGAATAGTAAAAGTATTTTGTAAAATTCTGTTTGGAATTAGCCAGGCAGTGTTGGTTCACACCTTTAATCCCAGAACTCAGAAGGCAGACATAGGTGAATCTCTTGAGTTTAAGACAAAGAATGAATTTCAGGACAGCCAGGCTACACAGAGAAAACCTGTCTCAAAAAAAAAAAAAAAGCTCTGTTCCTAAAATTTCACTGTGTATGATTGTTTTTAAGGAAATGTATAATATATAAACTTATATTTTTCATCCAAGATCAAACAAGCCAATTTTATGTAAAATAACTATGTTTATTATTTTTTACTCTTACAACATTAAAATTTCTAAAACACATCCCAAGGCATTAATTACCAACCTGAGTATTCAGGTCTCAAATATCCTGTTGTATATCCATAGTGAAAATCTCTACAAATTAACTCACATATCCTTATAAATCTTAAATTTTTCTAGAGTTCATGCTTATGAGGCTACCAAGTTATACAGATAAATTATCTAGCTAATTCATTTAACTTTACATTTCTTAAGAAAGGTCTGTATAAATACTTTTTACCAGTATTTGGATGTTCCTCCAACAAATATTATATAATAGCAAAGCATCCAGATATAATATTGAACAATGGGCCTTCGTGGAATTTCTACTGTGAAAGAATTAAATGTATGATTAATTTGGAGCCACCTAAAATCCTGATTATATGAAAGGAAAATGCCTAAGAAACTCATTTGTTAGCGAGCTCTAAGGGTGAAAAGAACTACTTCCATAAAAGTGGTCCAAGCAGACAGTACAGCCATAAGGAAAGAATGTACATACTGAGTACATTTAAGGACTTGGAAGACCACCATTGTTGAAACAATAGCAAATGTGTACCAATATATAAAAAGGGCAGATAAAATCAACAGTATCTCTCCATGGCATTTGGTAAGGACTGAGGCTTTATCTTAAGAACAATGAGCTTTAAGAGTTTTAGACTTGGGTGGGAGGGGCTGGAGAGATGGCTCATGGTTAAGAGTTACTTGTTCTTGCTGAGGATCTGGGTTTGGTCCCCAGCACCCACAGGGTGGCTCACAGCCATCTGAAACTCTAGTTTCAGAGGATCTCATACCCTCTGAGGGCACCAGGCATGCATGTGGTACACAGACATAAGTTTAAAAAAAAAACAAAAAACATAGATTCCCTAGTAAAATAAATGATAATAAATAAAAAAAAACACCTGATTATAGAATGGGCCAAGATCTAGACACCTCATCAAAGGTTTACAAATGGAAATAAAAATTCAAAATGAAACTCAATATCATATGCTATTTGAAATTACAAATTAAACTGAAAAACTACAAGGTCAGGTTCAATCCCTGTTACCTAACTAAGTGTACACACGTTAGAATGACCAAATTCCAAAATACCGACAATTGGCCAGGACAGGAACCAATGGGTTGTGGGGGTGGAAATGGCAACTTCTGGAAGACAGCTTGGCAGTTCCTCACTCACACTATAGGATCTGCAGTTACCTCGGTTTTGATCCAAAATGGGTTGAACACTTAGAACTACAGAGCAACTTGCACATGGATGTTTACGAACAATTACCAAAGGTTGGAAGCAACCAAGATGCACTTTAGTAGGGATACACCCCACAGAAAGGCATGATTCCATGCTAAGAAGAAATGAGCTATCGAGGCAGAGGCATGGTGAAAGCCGTATGTTGAAGAAGCCAGTCTGAAATAGACTACCACTGTTAGAGTCCAACTGCACAGCATTCTGACAAAAGGAAAACTACCCAGAGAACAAAAGGACTAACAGTTCTGAGGGGATGAGGCCTTAGACTTAGACAATTTTCTAAAGTGGTTAATAATTTGCTTAAAGCACAAAAACTCACTTGACATACATTCCATTGGGGGGGGGAAACAAGCTTAGAGCTTTCTTAACTGAGAAAATCACTTAAGGGCACTACAGAGCATGTTAAGCATAGCCCATGCATCATGCTAATGTTTTGTGCTTTATGCAACTGAATACTAATTACTGAAGTTTTAACTGTCAAAATTTCACTTAATATTATGAAGGAATAATCAGATCTCCTTTAATTAGCGTTGTATCATTTATCAGGGCAGTAAGGAAGATTTTTGACTACTTAACATATCATTAAGAACTAATATTTGACTGATAAATTTTAATTTCATCTTTTACACATTGAGTAAAGAGATTAACAGTTTTATCCACGTCAAGATGTTTGTTTTGGAGGATTGATTCCATCTCTTCAAACACTTCTTTTTCCAGCTTCCTCATGTCATCTAACGTTGTTTTGCTTTTTTCCTAATTAAAATAATAAAAGTAAATACAAGAATCTAAGAAAATTCCAATACACTGGCAAGGTTTATTTATTCTGCTTTCTACTGGTTTGGTTATTTTCCTCTTTTGTAGATGCAAAAGGAATGAAAAAAAAAAGAATGGTTTTCTTTGGGAAAAATCATTGCTCTAGATTCAATTAATGCACAAATACCAAAATTAGTTATTTTTAGCTGAAAACATAAGAACAAGCACACAGTATTAATAAACAAAGACAGCCACACAGTATTGATAAACAAGAAGGGCCACATAGTATTTATAAATATGAAATTCAGAACAAGACAAATGGAAATTTGCTTTAACTGTATATGGCAAAGTATACTGAAAATCAAGACTAGGACACTTTTGTGGATTTAGAGCTTGTGAATTTGAAGCCAATTTTATCTGATTAAGGAAATGGGCCTGAAGGTCAGCCTCAGAGGCAGAATGTTTGCCTAGCATGCTTGAAGACTTGGGCTCAACCCCTAGCACTCCAAAAACAGGATCGCAGATAAATAAATGCCAATAAATTCCTTCACACCAAGGGAACGCAACAGTAATGCTCAAGAGGAAAAGCAATAAAAAGATATTTCTCCTTGTGTCAAGGAAGTGGGGAGTGTCTGTGACTCTTAGAGAAAGCAGCACTTTTCCTGTGTGTGCTAAAGACTCAACTCAGGACCTTGTTCACACTGAGCAAGAACTCTACCTCTCCACCCACATTGCCAACCTAAAAAGGAATCATTTTTTAAATAATTCAAAAGTCATCATCAATTTGAATCTAGAGGGAGAAAGAACACTGTACATAAGTAAG